CCTCTGCTCTAAAAAATGCAGCTGAAAAAAAGAAAAAGAAAAGAATATTCGTATTTCTTTCTACTTTTCAAGGTCAATTCAAAGCATGATGACAATAATCGCAAAGGAAAACAATCGCAAAACAAGGATTATAGTATTCTACAACACTTAAAATTGATGTACATCCTAAACGCTTAGGAAGCTGACACTTTGAGTATAAGTAAGAACAACCAATATTTTCTATACAGAAATACGATAAAGGTCATAAGCTGCTTTTTGAAATTCAAAAGGTTTTTAAAAACTCATGGCTTGGCTCTAGTGTGGTTYATTTCGACGCGTTCTGTGCAGTTTTTGAAGCAAAGWCTGCAACTGTAAAGCTGTAAATCAGCTGARAAWTCATTGCTTATGTGTACATTTGAGGAACGGAMCTTTCAGCCAACACAATGATCCCCAAAACACATACAGTGACAKTCATTGAYCTGTGKATATGCAGCTTACGCTAACATCTATGGTTGAGTGTAGTTTGACGCATTTTAWGCYATGTTTCAGCTGTTTTCATTGCTGTTTTCACATATGACGTGSCGAATATCAAATCCATTGTATCACCTGACATTTTAACTGATCGTTTGCGCATGTAGTTTCGAATTAAGGTTCTGGTGTCTTTTTAACCTGAGTTGTAAATGAAGCCAATATTCACGTTCACACTGTTGCTTTTTCGTTACGTTTTTTTTATTGTTTACCATTCAATTGAATTTAACCAATTTCAGGTATTTTCTTCATAATGCGTTTTCGGTGCGTTTTTCTTTTGTTTCCCATCCCCTTGAGTGTAGGCTTCGTTCACACTGTTGCGTTTTTGCTACGTTTCTCTACTGTTTCACATCTCTATGAACGCAGGCAATATTCAGAAATTGTTAACATTGATGCGTTCCGTAGCGTTTTTATGTGTATCAATGCGTTTCTGTAGAGTTTGTTTTATTAACATTGAAACTAAAGAACACAAACCCCAGAAAAGCACACCAGTGTTAAACGACGCCTAAGGGTACCCCTCTACRCAGTATCTATAGCCATAGAATTGATTAATATGTTAATAACAAATTACGGCAAATTTCGTGTGACAGTGCAGCGATCGACGCATGAATGGTGGCACGGACAGGTCTCACCGCWCGGACAGGACTCGCCGCACGGTCACGGAATTGAATTGAGTAAACATCACGAACGCTTTATTTACAACACGGTCACGGTGCGTAAGTGCCGCAGATTGTGGCCACTCCTACCTTTTTTAGCGCTACGTGATTTCCAAAATAGCAATAATCTAGGAGGGCTTCCTTGTTATATTCTAAAGCAAACAGTTTCAAGATCAGATGCATATCATATTGACCATGTTTAACTGTAATAATGTTCTTGAATGTTCATTCCTATCAAGATATTCATGCTCTTTGAGATGCGACARCATCTCCGMCTTCAAACGCTACAAAAAATTGGGAATAGAAAAACTTTATGCTAGTTGAAAATATAAAATCTTGCATTGATTTGAAAGGGAGTTTAACTCTGGAGAAATTATTTAAGTTAGCTAGCTAGTTTATGTTTGACTTAATGACGCAATAGTGTGAATAACCAATTAGTAAGGAGGAGRAACATTTCAATCATTCACTCTTTTTCMCGGTACCGCTTGCACATAACTCCAGTTTTCTTGTCTTCCGTATCTCGTTTGTATCCTATTATGGTCTATCCAAGGCTAAGCTTTTAGAAAATATCTTGAAGCCAAGTAAGAATGGCTCGTACATGTTCCTAAGACACCAATGTCAAGAGTTTGGCCACTCCATTGGTTATTGCCTCTTATATTTCTAACAAAAAAGATCTATGCAAACTATATATGATCTCTTACACCACTACTTGAGTAAGGAAATGAAATCACAAGTTTAAATATCCAGTCATTGTTTTTTTCTTTATAAAAACGTGCGAGGAAGAATAGAGGAAAATTTAAAGTAGAATTTAATGATGAAAGAAGCAGTGAAGTGCAGAAGAAATTCGTAAAAAGGTAAACAGAAAAAMTCGGAAAGTGTTTGTATCGCTATAAGGCACGTAGTGTTTGCAGAAAAACATAAATGAATTGAGTCAAGCCATCAATCTGTAGATAATGAGAACCTCCCATTCTAAAAAAAGCGTTCATTTGCCGACATGATATGGTTCATATGGTTCATAATTATGCATTATGTTTTTTTGTAATGAAAAATAACATCATTTTAAAGAACTTATCGTAATTTTATAGCAAACTAAATTGATACAACATAATATCATACTTAAGCACACCATACATTTGAACATATCCCTAAAGGCAAGCACACATGCAGAAAAACCTGAACAATCGCACAACTCAAGGATCAGACATAACCATGATCATGAAAAAAAAAAACCGACTCTATACATACTGTTCAGAAATTTGTGATCCCTCTCAATCTCCTATTTTGCGTTTTTTCTTTCTATCCCTTTCCAGTTATCTATGTGTAGTCTTTATCATATGATTATCTATAAAATACCTATATTTCTCCATTTCGTAAAGTTGTTATTCCCATTTTGTTGTGTTTCGATTTCATTTCTTTTTCTAATGGTAAAGGGAAATAGAAATTASTCAAATTTGTTCACTAGTGAAAATAATACATTTCTCTATATAGTGGAAGTAAGAAAAAAGGTATTTTASGACATAATTTGCTGCGCTCACTCGTGAGAGATCTTTTCGACACTCAAAGATAAAATCCGTATCCCCGCTCRCCCAKGTAATATCCTCTATTTCTTAGTAGAATATAAAAGAATGTATTCTTGGATCAGAATAACGCTTTTTTGGCCTTTATGACCGATTTGTTTTTTCAGCTTAAATGAACATCTTTAGATTCAGTCATTCGCTAAGTGTTTCAAAGACCTGACATTGTCAAAGGTATATMGTTAAGTATTTAACTGCTTATTGAAAAAAATGTATAGAATATTGACAGGTAGGTTGAGCTACAGGTACAACGCCGCCAGGATGTCGGTCATGTCGAAACCTAGCAAACAAAGTATTCTAATTATTTGAATAGCAATTATTCTTTACACGTCCTAAAAAGACATTTTTTTGAGAACGGATGTAGTGGTGAGTTGTAAATCTACTGATCTGTCATTTTAGAGTAAATGACCTTATTTCATTTTGTCATTTTCTTTTGTTCTCATTTTATTCCCATTTTGATGTGCTTCGATTTCATTTCTTTTTCTAATGGTAAAGAGATGCAGAAATTACTCAATTTAGAGGGCCACAAGTTTATTAGTATGTATATACTATTATGTGTTTTTACCCTCTTTAAATAAAGTCTTTACTTACTTACTTACATATTTAACTCAAAAATATATTTTGTTGTTGTCCTTGTTCTCATTTCATTTTCGTTTTAAAGAGCTTCCACCTCGTTCTTCTTTCCAAAGGTCGAAAGGGAAGAGAAACACCTTTAGAGTATCAGCATAACTCCACAATTAATGCCACAAGAACTTTTAAASTGACCAGCTTGTRCTGTGGTTCTAAATGTCAATTAGCGGCTTATTGTAAAAACATATCAAGATAGATGAATGAATTATAATGAAGCCATTTTAAGTATATAGACTTTAGCCTTTGGGAAATACTTAAAMGATTTCATTAATTTTTATGGGGAAGATGAATATGGAGGTTACTTGTCTTTGAAAAGATGTTCATCTAACTTTTTRATGAAAAAGATAGCAAATTGTTTCAGTAAAGTATTAAGTACTACAACAGTTCGATCAAAAAAAAAGACATAAACCACGCAAGATTTAAGAACATTTGGTTTATGATCTTTAATGACAGAAAAGAAGCGATCCAATTTGATCAGAAATAGCGCTTGATATACACGTAATGCAGTTCGCCATTTTTSCACAAGAATAATCTATACCCCATATTTATAATCTTTTCTTGTCAACTCCMTTTCTTTTTTTGATTCGGGTCCATCTATAAGCAAATTAGATTGGGTTKYTCGAGTCCTTCAACAAGAAGAAATCAAAAAAAGMTGAGCACAGATGTAATGTCATTCTTCTGTCAGATAAAAACTATCAAATAGTTGACGTSTAATCGTGATGTGTTTTGACRTCTTAAGGCTGATTTACACGGTACGATTTGTCGCGCGCGACTTGTAGTATACGATTTTCCTACTACAAGTCGTAGGATTTTAAGCAGTGGTTCAAAACCCTACTACAAGTCGTAGGTTGCGTACGACTGTTGTAGACAAGTCGTAGGGGCATTTACACTGCGCGATTCAAGTCGTATACTACAAGTCGCACAAGACAATCGTGCCGTGTAAATCAGCCTTTAGTGTACCACTTCTTCGGTAAAGTTATATTATCATATCTGTATGACGTTGCTACGTTACGAGATGGATTAAGGAATACTTTTTTGTTAAACAAGCTTTTTATGATATGCTAGTTTACTTGTATTACTGTACAGATAGTGTAATGTTCTTATGACGTTGATAAATTTCGTCAAAAACGTAGATAAATTATCAAAAAGATTTTATGCCACTTGGATTGAAAACGATTAGATTGCAAAGTGACATTGTCGTTAAATATAGGTGAATTCCCTAGCTTGCGTAGTTTGGATTTCTGACACTGACATAGATATTTCCTTGAGGTAGATTTCATTCGTTAAGTCTCTACATTACGCCTCCCCCTCCCTCCCCTTTAAATATACAAAAAAATCGTTTAATCTTAGGCACATATAGCAATTTAATCGATGTTTTTTTGCTAGCTATATTTAATAGCATTAGTCGCCTTATTTCCTTAAATGATCAGCTATTTCATGATGAAGTTTTATTGTACTTGCTAAGCGCACCCCGCACTCCTCCCCCTTAAAAATATCTCACAGAAATAAAGTACTTCAGCCTAAAACACATATATATCAATTTAATTAATGTTTTTTTTTTTGTACTTTAACGATATTCAATAGCAGTAGTACCATTCTTAACTTAATCACCAGTTATATATTCCTTTATTAGGAAGGAAGCATCGATAGCTCTCAGTGGCTTTAACATCTCTGACGTCATCACTGTGACGTAACTGGGCCTTAAATACCAGTCTYTTGCTGTGGAAGAGCATATTGAAGTTAAGACGCGAAACAGACGCAAGTGAAAACCARCTTGGCAACTTACGAGGTACTATTTTTTAAACTGTATCTACTATAAATTACGAATGAAGATTTTTTGAGTTCTTTAAAATCCAATAGTTAATYYAGTGCCCAGTTRTCTCGATGCTATGTTTATGCGTGGGGCTTGAAGATAGAGATAAACGAATCAAATTCAGTAGTCTCCGCACTATTTTTCAAAGCRAAAAGTGTTTCATTTGTAATGCAAACCTCACCTTTTGTAAACTACAAAGAAAACGCATTTTGCCTTCGGATATTACCCTCTGACCCAAATGAATCGCACGGAACACATCGTTAAAGTTTTCCAATTAGCATTTCGAAATATTCAATGTGTTTTTTATRTTTGTGCATATTTTGTATAGAGCAGTCTAGTTTAATTTCATTAACAGTCAGAAGGTTACGTTAATTAAATATATTAATTATAAATATATTGATCAATTTGAGGGTGATGATGCCATTTGCATTCCATTAATTTGGCAAGTTRCTAATTATTTTATCATATTTTCTTTCACATTTCATCATTTTTTCATGGTTATTATTTGTGTTTTTAATAAGTAATATTTTACTTGAAAAATTCATTAATTCTTCATTTGATATTTAGTTTTTACTTTATGATAATAAGTTGATTCATTGCTACCCACTAAAAATTCAAATAGTATTCATTATTCAACCGATTTGAAATTCCTTCATAAGAAATCAATATAATAAAAACCTCCAGTGATCAAGTATTCGAGAACATATGATCAAATCGTCAATTTTCAAAGTGAGATTTATAATTGAAATACTTAACAATGCATCAACAACAGTGCTTCCAATTAAACTCCAAGTGAGTGTAATGCTTTTTTCTAATTGTTTTAATTGATTCTGGTATTATACGTGCGCTACTATACGTTTTGAAACAGTAACAGATAAAAACATATCAATCACTGATGAAAATTTGTAATTTTTTTAAAATAATTGGAATTTTCTGATGAAAATTGCAAATTTAATAGTGTAGGACGGTTCATGATAAGTACAGGATAAAAYACTTCAGATGCATGTGTAGGGACACGAAGAACGCCACACGAGCACAGCGGTTGAGCTTTATTCTTTAAATATTGAGTGTTGTCCAATATCCACAAGTACTTATTTCACCCATGTACCTCGGCAGTCGATATCATATAAAGATAATAGCAAAATGGCTTCCCCTGTGAGCCGCTCTTCCCCTGTGAAATAAACACACGCTTTTGGACCAATCAGAGCTTAAGGAATTTAGATATTATGAACTACAATGTAATGCAATAAAGTTTGATAAGAATATAATGTAACATCTATTTCTAATCTACAGAGGTTTTTTATCAGAAATCRTGATAAATTATTTTTTATATTTTTTCATCTCTATGTGATATAGATTTTGCGTTATACATAATTCATTTATTTTACATGGCTGTTGCGTGATATGCAAAATTTAATAGCGAAAATGAAGATTAGAAACATTTATTGTAGTTGCCTACTCAAACTTCTAAAGAATAATGCTTATTATAGAGTATATGACATACAAATTCTATTTATTATTTTGTTTTTCACTACTATCTCTTGGGCAGATTCTTATGTTGTTCTTTTTATACCAACCACCCACCACGAACTAGACAAGCGACAATAGGATACTGTATCTACTAAATCTCTACATGATGCGTGCAGTCAATTCATGCAGGRGATACTAATCCCAGTGAATCCAGACTCTTTACAATCCATCAGTCATTTCTGAAGATTTTTGTAATTTCCGTGACCGGCATTAAAAGATTTTGTTGTGAAAAACGACACTTTTTCATGATGCGATCAAATGTTCGAAATTTGTCAATGCTCGAATCTTTAATCTCGAATGCATCACCGACTTTTTATCTATTTTTCTGAATGGTACATGATTCATAGAATTTGTCTCTGTTTGTTGACGTGATCAAACGTTCGAATTCTGTCTTAATTTGGATCAGCTTAATCGAATCAGTGAGTTATACAATCTATCTGTGTGAATAATGATTATGCATTCGAGGAATCTCTTTTTGTTTACTTGTTTATTTCTTTGTCGTGATCAATAGTTCTAGAAGATTTTGAAAAWTGTTTTGGAATTTTTGATCATCAAAGGCACACATGGTTGTTGTTAGTTTCAATGCGGGGATCGGCCGATAGACTGACTTGAAACTAAATCTTTATGTCGAGCTAATCCTGCTTCCGGATCAAACGTTCGAATTTAAATCAATTTGAAGCGTTTTATTCTGTTTCAAAAGGAAATAAATAAATGACTCAATCCCTTATCACCTTTTTACAATAGTTTCAAAATAAAAATCTACGAAAAAAAGATGAAAAGAAAGACGAGGATTTTCCAACAAGTATGTTGTTTCCAACGCCATGGAAGATTGAAATCTTTTTACTTAAGGTCTTTTATTTTGTGTTTTTCCTTAAAAGCTTTTTGTGATAAACCCATTAGGAACAAATTGACCCAGTGTATCCGACTTCGTTGCATTGATAAAGCCAATCAAATACAAAGCTGCCTTTGAAGTGCGGCAAATACTGCACACAGGATGGCAACATTTTAAAAGTTCGACAAGTTAAATGATTATTTTTCCCTCTGTRAGAGATGTTTTGGCCACCTTTAATCAATCGGACGGTTTGATCATATGTTCTAGAATACTTGATCATACAGTGGAGGAAACATTTTAAAGTCCGACAAGTTAAATGRTTATTTWTCCCTCYRTRAGAGATGTTTTGGCCAYCKTTAATCAATCKGACGRTTTGATCAYATGTTCTAGAACACTTGATCATACAATGGAGGTCTTTATTATATTGATTACCAGTCTTCTATATTGCCGCAGAAACAWGAAAGCTAAAGATACTTACATTTCTTCTAGATTTGTTATTCTTATTTTGATTAAAGGTTGTTTTGAAGTACCGTGTCGTTGACACCCCCTCCCTCCCCTCCCCCTTTTGTTTCGTGTGTTTCAATGCTGAATAGGTTGTTTTTTTACTATTTTTTTAAGTATAGAATTTCTAATTGATTCTCTAATTGTTTTGCTCTTCATTGCCCAAAAGTCTTTTAGTAACTTTAAATATACATTGCGGCTGATTTTTCTTTAAAGTTGTAGATACGAAGGTTGTAGTTATAATTATTAAAAGAAGCAGACTTTTATCTTAATTTCTAGTACATACTGTAGTCATCTTATTCAAAGCTATACTTTAATAGCCTCCAAATGACCTAAAGTACGACTTTCTAGTTACACGACCAGATGTCTCGAATGTACTATACAATGCCTTCCAGAAGAGTCAGGGTTTWTTTTAAGGAGTCAGTTTTTTTTAAGGGTCAGTTTTTTTTAAGGGAACAATGCACTAAGTTTTGCTAAAATCATTCGCTTCTACACTGTAATGTCTTTTTTCTTCTTCCTGCAATGGCTTGTATCCTATGGTACTCCGGTAACCACTTCKAACTACCAACTAAAATCTTAGTTTTCACCATAGGCAAACTATAGAATGGGTTTTTTATCTAATGCTTGTAGGAAGTAAAGAGCTTTTCTCGAGAATGTTCTCAAAGGTTCTCGTTGTAACTGTTTCCGTATAGTGCTTTTAGCGAAGTTCACGTTACAAGACAAGTTTTTCAAGTAAATAAATTGAGTTTTCACTCATTTCTTTTCATCTGTAAGTGCTAAATATCCTGAAAAWGGCTTTGTTAAAAAGATCCAATATCTTATGATAGCACTGAAAAACTATCGAATAATCGATGYTTTTTTGTTGATATTTTGAATGTCAACACACACATAACGCGCCCTGATTTCCTTTTCTTGCCATTKTGATGGCTGCTAATTTGACGTACTAAAATCCACTGCGGTGTTTGCTTACCATCGTTTACTTTATCTCATACAAAAAACTCGATAAACAAAGCCTTAAAACCATGCACCTGTTTCCCTATTTTGTTTCAGAGAGAAATCTATGCTAATTAATTATTGACAAAAGTTTCTCTTCTACTCCTATTCTAACGAACGCTCAAATGGGTTTTGCTAACGAGCATCAAAGTGGTTTCCCAAATGCCAGCGGCATGTAGGTAGGGAAGCGCGTTGAAAGATCAAGCATGCAAATGGGTTTTCAATGTGACTTGGGCGCAAGAAAGCCATACAAGTGTCATGTAGCATTGAAATGGCTTCCGAATGTTTTGCACATGGCATTTAAATGGCTTTCGAATGTTGTCTTCGATCAAAGGKTCTATTTTTGGATTTAGGGTTAACATGCTAATGGCTTCTCTAGAATCGTATACGCATTTAAAGGGGTTCCTTTCGAAAGTTACCCTGCATTTAAATGGTTTCGTTAAATGACTCGCTACGCGTTTTTTTACGTACTTTTAATTGTTTCATTCGATCCTTTTTTAACTATAATTGCACTGAAGTTATCAGTTATAGTTTTACTTTTTTACTTTTTTATACAAAGAAAAAATACAAATTGAAATTTATTCCTCTTGGCGAGAAATCAAAGAGAAAAATATCTAAACCTTTTACAGCTTACGATAAACTAAAAGTGGTGTTCGTAATTAGCTTTAAAAGTCGGAGATTAAGACGAGCAAAGTCAGTTGTTGAACGCTTAACGCAGAGTAACTGCAGCGAGATAATGACAGCGCTTACGTGATCATCGATTRTAATCCACTGTTTTATCGATAAACACTTACATTTTACGCTGTACATATCTATATTGATTCTTATGCGCGGCCAATTCTATGAGTTTGTATCTCTTACTGCACTTTGGTAAATATATCGATTTGTTTCATCTGAAATACAAGTTTATCCGTCAATCTTCTCTGTGCGTAACKTGATATGTTGATTCTTTCCATCAATCTTATCATCTTTATTCACGACAACGCCTCGTTGGTCCACCCATCTACTTCTTTATAGCTACTTCTAGGATTTTAGTTTACATTAATTTATCTGATTTATTGATCCATTGATTCTACATATATCCATGTATTTATTGTGTCCATCCTCAAAAGTATATATTTGTCAATCCATCCATCCATCCCTCTCTCCCTCTCTCCTTCCATCCATTTATCTATTTATTCATTCATTTATCTATTTTTGAGTAATCACCGATTCACTCGTTTTTCGTCCATTCACTGATATGGATAGGTCAACCATGCACACTCATTTGTCTGTTCTTACATATATACTCGATCGTTCTCATATCTAACCATTCATTTTCTATCATCCTATCGTAATCCATGTATAAGCTTGCTAGTTCAGGTGTCCATCTTTCATTCACTATTCATTCGTTTATTCGATTTTCATTCTGTTCATGTGAAATGTCCTTKCTTAGTCGGTTTATAGATAATATCGATAAGAAATCATTATACCTTCTCTCAAAATCAATACACGTGCAATTATCTCCTTAAACACCAATCTTTGATGCATCACTTTAACTTAAATTGCTTAAATAAAGCCCTTAATCTGGTTTCTACACATCTAATGGGTGAAAAAAGCCTGGGTTTCACTGTAATCCGGTGTCAGTTGTAAGGTTTTGAGMCTGCGCACTAAAATCTTAGCAAGMGGTATCACAAACTAACTTTGAATGATTTAGAAAAATTAAAGGTTTGTGTGCATCCATGAACCTTTGYGGTCCTTTTGTTTTACAAATGATCCGCCATTGTTGAAATATGCTTTCTGATTGGTTGAAAATCAAATATGGTGAATCTTCGTTTGCAGGAGAATCGCGCAAAGATCCCTGGATCCACGTGGGACTTTAAGTAATAGCTACATGTTTCAAGAATTTTCCTTATAAAATCGGGGGATTGGTTTTGTATCAGAATAAGGCTATTTCCTATTAAACTGTGTTTTCCRTTTTCTTCCTTCGACACTAACGAATTGTACAATACACCTACGATATAAACAGATAGGGAACTCCCACACTAACATAGTGTATTCGAGAACATTTGATCGCATAAATGAATAAAAAAAATTATGATTAAAGAAACTCAATCAAAAACGAAATATAAAAGCATTTTTTAATTYTTTTAAAATAAAAAAAGCCAGTCTATGCGATCCGTCAGAATATCTTTGTATTAGCCACCACTCGATAGAGTCTAAACTATGATACGATCGAATAGAAGTAAATGTTCTGCGTTACAATAATACTATCAAGTGTGTTACGGGGTAATCAGTTTGCCCTGAGGTAATCCCCGCCGCAATTTCGTCACAAGATATTCAAGTATCTTATTGTATTCAGTTCCGACATGTAGTTGTATTTAACGACTACTGGCACATTTTCATCGAACACTACTCAGGAATGAAGGGTTTTGATTGTACAACCCTTAGGATATTCATTCCTTCTGACCTCAYAATTCAAGCAGAAAGAACCTTCAGACACGCAAAACGTTTTATTGAATCTAAGTTGTACCAACTCTCTATATAGCCATCTCYGATATTCATTGACACTATTGCTATTATAGGTAAGTTTTTGTATTATTTTGGAATTTCGAACGAATATAGGTAATTATGTCTTACAGCCTTTATTCAAATCGAATGTTTTTGGGGTTGTGGATGAGCTATCGAAAGCGTACTAGTTTTTGGTCTACATCACGAAAATTAAGAAAGTAAGAAAAAAGCGACGGCTCTTCTCCCCTTGTGGGGAAATCATTCCCCTCGTGAGGGAAAATAATTTTTGGCGGCACAATGCCACCCAATGCTAAGGTGAACATAAATTCCAACCCCTCTAATCGATGCTTTCTGTGTTGTCTTATATTTTTGCAACATAAAATGTTCTTTGTTATGTTTGTATCCGCTTTTGCCGTTTATTTATTCTTCTKCTTTGAGTATTTAGGTTACTTTTATATTCCGTTAAAGTACATATAGACTATCTCGTAGGACAATAYACTTACTAGTTTCCGGAGACGTGTTTACAATAACTAATCTCTCTCTTTTCCCATTTCTTTTGTGGCACTGTAAATGCCGCACCCGACCAAGCTGACAAGATTTTCTAACGGAAGTTTTCACTCAATAAATGTTTATTCTACGCAAACATAAAACAAAAAGAATAAAAAAACACATAACTGTATAGTATATTAATTCTCAAAGAAGAGGCCAGAAAAAACAAGCTGTTTTATTTGTTTATGGCGCAGGAAAATATCCTCATTAATTGTGTTTTCATGACTGAATGAATCTCCTCGATAATGTTTTAACCATTGCAGACATCTTGGAAATTTAACGATATGTTTTACTGCCATGGACAGTAATGCTTCTCAATCGTTGATTGAAAAAAATCGAACTATATTCCCACAGGGCCTGTAATCGGAAAAACATATTGCCCGAGTCGAGGAGGGCTAATAACTATGGCTAGACGAAACACTTAATTTTGGCATGAGTACAGATTTGCTTCTAATTTCTAGTAATGACATAGATGTTTTTTCGATTTATGTGCAATTGTTTTCTAGGTATATACATTACTYAATTAGTCGATATATCATATCCAATGACAATTAAATCGCCGCGGGTTGAGATATTCATGCGGTGTAGTACACGTCAATACACTTGCTTGCTCCATTCTTACTTAATAGCTCTCTGCAAGCAGTTTTTTATCACGTAGAGTCCTGTCAAGACACGATTCAAAGTTATCAAATGTRGTTGGTCCCTTAGGTCGATCATAGCGAGACTCGTATTAGACAACTGCGCATRCTCTCCAATGATTTCCGTGTCTATCCCACATTGCTCAGTCTTTACTTTCTTAGCWCAATTCATTATCTTGATGGTTTTTCTCTTCTTTCTCAGAAACATCATGAACAATCAGAGTTCTTCTAACCTTAGTGTACGTAGCGGACARTGTGATGCGTACCTGACTGATGGTAATAAAATTGGCCTGACCTTAGTGTACGTGTTCGCTCTCATAGCCGCCATTACYGGCAATTCTTTCGTTATCCATATCGTCCGTACACAGAAGAAAATGAAAGTATCATTCAACTATTTGGTCGTTAAYATGGCCGTTGCGGACATCRTCAACGCTATTTCGTCAATGCCRTTGAGCATTAGTTATATACATACATACGGCAAGTGGTTCCCAGGACTCGCCGGGRATTTTTTCTGCAAGCTATTAAATTTCCTGGTAGTCGCACCTATTTTGGTTTCCTTGGCAACGCTTACAGTCATCACGGTGGAGCGTTACCTAGCAACCACTCGAGTGCTTAAAAGACCCTTATCGATAAAGGCCGTGAAGCGTTTGATTGCTGGGATATGGATCGTGACGTCAATATCAGCGATACACGAGTTTTTTAAGCTAGAGGTRGCACAAGGCCCTCAAGGGTTTTATTATTGCGKGTTGTCTGATGTCTGGGCACAACGCATGGTTGTCGAGTATGTTATTAAGTTTGTAGTGACCTATGCTTTCCCGTTGATGACWATGGTTATTCTCTACTCCTTGATAATATGCTTGTTATGGAAAAAACAGACGATTGGTGAGGACATCGATGAGTACAATCGTCGCTTCCTTAAACAGAAGAAAAGCGTTATCATCAAATTAATTATCATTGTTTTGGTCTTTGCATTTTGTTGGCTTCCTGTACACGTCAATCATCTGATGGCAGCTTTTAATTWCAAACTGTTTAATTGTGTYCCATTATGGGTTATTTTATCACTGTACTGGCTCGCGCATGCTAACAGTGCCATCAAYCCTTTCTTATACTTGATGCTGACCAAGGATTCGCGGGCTCTCTTCAAAGCTCATATATCGGGAATCATCAGAGGAGACGGGAGTTCTGGTAAAGGAAGCAAGAATAAGGACAAAAACCATAAAGGCGATAGTATCATGTTTTGGAAGAGAGGATTTTCGAAAAAGACAACTAGGACAGTCATTATCTAATTCTGCTTACGATGATGTCATGATGCTATATTTAGTAAACCGGAAGTCGACCGATGATGTCATGATGCTATATTTAGTAAACCGGAAGTCGAACGATGATGTCATGATGCTATATTTAGTAAACCGGAAGTCGACCGATGATGTCATGATGCTATATTTACCTGTTCATGTGGACAAGATAACAATGATACAATGTGATACTAGTTTTACTAGGAAACGGATATGTTTTCTTGGAGCACTTCAAACAGAGATATTGGTATGATATGATAATATGATATGATTAGAAATGCAACTAGAAGCGCTTTGGGACACTTAATACTGTGATGTTTTCATCATCATCATCATGTGACGACCCTTTTGGAATGGACTCGACCCGCCACACATTTAGCCTGGTTTTCAGGATTACTTTAGACTAACGTCATAATGCGAAGCGGGRGTTCTGCTTGGTGCAGTTAGGATGGCGAATGATTCCAAGCTTGTATATTTAGAAATTGGAATGTGATTTATTAGGAAAACTTTAACGATAGAATGTTATGTTACTATATGTTTAGTAATGTCGAGGTACATTGTTTATTTATCTACTAAAATGACGTCAAATGGAGAATTCCCATGGTTAATTGAGAACTTGCATAGTTAAATAGCAGTAAATTTGGTTTGAAACACAGTAGGCATGCTTTTAGCTATTAAAAAAAACAGTTCGAGAAAATTAGATTAAATTAAAGGATTTTCAAGATACTCGGACGATATGTTTTTTCGGGTAGCATTCAAAAGCTCCATTTATTTTGTCCGAAAATGCTATTTACAATTCTTTCAGGCAACGTTTTTGAAATAGCTATATAAAGAATAAAGTCACTGGTACTTTTTTGCTACAACAGCCCAAAGACTACAAGATTTTTCATAATAAGTAATTTTAGTTACTTAYTTAAAGGCTTTAGAAAGCGCCAGAGTTTCAAGGGAATAACGTTCTGAGATTTTAAATAAGAAGTAAACTGTTATATATCAGTGTGTTGAAATAAGTACTTGTTAAATCTCTATGTAAATATATATAATGTGACTGTATGTAATAAATATCGTATCAAATGCTCGTGATAATGTATTTGATTGGTTTAAAGGTAATCTGACAACAARCATAGCAGAAGTTGTTTCCTATTGGGCTTCCTGTTGCACCTTATGTTTTCTTGCTTCTCGTTACCATTCTTCCTCGATTTGTGTTTCCAGGTTATCGCTTACTATTTACCACAGGAAATCCAAAGGGATTTCACGAGAAAAAGTGTTTTGACTTCGGAAATGGTTTGATTTTTTTCTATCTTTGTTAATACTAAGTTAACAATGAAAAAAATCTAAGAAAGAAAATTTCGGGAATTTTTTTTAATGAATTTGAAGTCATTTGCGCATGATCAAGTGCGCGCAGAAATGTGTACTGAAATACTAAACTGAAAGGTCAAAAGCTAAAAAAACGTAAATATTGATATTCCGGTTTACAGTTGGCGTGATTCTTGGAAATGTTTTCGCTATGTGTGAATATCAAATGTCACGGCTGTTGCCGGTTATAGCGCCGGGGGTCATCGTCTTATCTATCATGCTAATAGTGCTCTAACTTACTATGGGGTCCCATCGCTTCAACTGCTTCAAAATTATTCTATGGATTGGTCTTACTATYAGCTTTTCCTTTGGAGATATTCATACAACAAATCGAACTGTTCCTAGTTTTAAAGAAGARACMRCTRCAGCGAGTACAAATCGAATCCCAAGTATACCTCTAATAGTTGGTATAGCATTAGCGCTGGTAATTTTAATCAAATTCCGAGAAGACATTTCTTACAATTGTGGAAAAACTGTATCAACACTTCGTAGCTGTCTWACCAGAGGAAGAGAAACTGTTTCMTTTCCCMSTRAASAARACCTTGATGGAGAAAARGGGATATAYAGTCACCGTATGAGTGAGAACGAGACGAAGTTAGATTCGTGTCCACGTGGAGACTATTCTGAGAATTCGGTTAATGATGGCTCAAGAAGAAAAGTTAATCAAGGTTAAAACTTAAGTCAACTGCAACGAAGAATCATAACAAGAAAAGGTGTTATAAATAATGTATTCATACGCAAAACCTTTTAGATTGTTTTCTTTGACAACTTGTAGAGTCTGTTCATCGTCACTTTGCTACAACGATAAGTTCTACATACTTTGTTAGTAAAATTTTATATTTCATAATGCTATTTTGTAATCTATACAATATAAAATGGTTTCATACATAGATTCCTCTTTCATTTATTAATTATAGTATAAGCAAATCGACGGATCTTTTCTAGTCCTAATACGTAATATACCTGATAGCTTATGCATTGTTTCAAATTAATTGTCACCATTAATTTTCTTTCTTTCTTATTTGGTATATCTATCGTGAAACCATTTGTATGATGGCGACCAAGATGTTTTGACATTCATGTGGGATTTAGGGTTTTTCTTCGACTTAGTGTTGAAACGCTTTAATACACTTTAATTCATATATGTGTGTATGTATTAATCTCCTATACTGTTAAAAGTTTATTTACATGTCTATAGCCCAAGTGGAGTTCATTGATTAGTTGAAACTTAAACCAAAGTCGCGAGTAAAACTCAAAATCGTAACGAACTTCATAGCTTCGAGGTCACGATGTTTATTTTTGATCAATTTTTTGGAGATACTTTGCATGTAAGAATTATGAAAGTGAAAAAAATATTAATAGCACTTTCTTATCGTGCGGAAGATTATAAATCTTTAATACATGCACCTTGTGGCTTTCTCTTCTAAGTTACGATAGTCAAATAGGAACAAAAGAATGCCATATTACATTGAATTTATTAGCCAAATTATGTCAAATRCAATCGAATATTCACTTGCATTCGACGCAGTCGACTCTATGTATGGACAGCTTTTTAAAACCTCGTTTTTTTTCCTTCTCCATTGTAATCTACCAACTCTACCAACGGACATCCTTTGTGCGTTTCCCAACAGGGTCTTAATGGGGGGGGGGAGGGGTCTCAATAGTCGGTAGTCAGTTAAAATTTCAAGCATTTGTCGTCAGTTAAAATTCTAGGCATTTGTCGCTAGTCGGTAATTTAAAAAAAGTTGATAAACATTAAGTTTAAATGCATCTAAAACGGTGCTTTATACAGAATTCTTTCTAAAATGCCAACAATTGAATCCTTGAGTCTTGATTGGTCAATTGGATGCCCCTCAAAGTTTTAGAGTGGCTCATCACAACTTCAAGAAGCCAATCCGAAGCAAAATTTATTTTTTCCGCGGAAAAATTCGAATGTAGTTGCTTGAAAAATAAAAAAAAGCTTGTAATCACGGAGCTAACATCTTTGAATATTGGAAAATGTTGCCAGTCAGTAAATTTGTTAATGTCGGTAGTCAGCAAATTTTGTTCAAATTTGTCGCTAGTCAGTATCAGAAGTATTTCTGTCAGTATATATTAGTTATTTTGTCCATTTGTCGCTAGTCGGTTAACCCCATTCAGACCCTGTCCCAAGGGTGTCGAATTATATCCCAGACTCATACCCAGTCGTTTCTCTTACTCGTTTAACGGGTCGCGGTGCATCAAGGGAAGTCCGATCCCTTGACCCTTTGCGCGCGAGACTTCCCTYGATCCTTTGCGCGMGAGAGTAACGACTGGGTACGAGTCTGGAATTATCCAGTYAATTTAATRACCTTGTCTGGTTCAAAATTACTTAGAAACAAAGACTGAAAAGGTTCATGGGTAATTGCCTAAKAATTCCCATGTAGACGTTCGGTCTTAGCATCTGGATCAAATCGATGTATGTTGGTATGATGACTTAGCAAGGCTTTATTTCTTACCCTATGATAAAACAATATTTGTTTTTCGATGCCTTTTACCGTATTAGRTTCACAATAGCCTTAACAATGAGGCATTAACCTGAGTAAATTTTGAATGAATCATTTTAGTCTACTTCAGTATGGATATTCAAATTGTACTCAAAGTGTAATTACAAAAAAATCTTTTACTGGCATAGAAAAGAAGACATATTTTTTTATCATTTTACAATAGGATATGTTAATCGGACTGTTATCTGCATGTGCCTCAGATTTTTGTTCATAATTTCCTACTCAAAGAGCATCGCAAGARAAGGTTTACTTTCATTTATTTTTCATTCTTTTCTGATTTCATTTTATCTTTTCTCCCTTCAAAATGAATTTATGGTCCGATTGTATTCCTAAACCAAAAATTTCGTTAAAAATATCTTTTCTGGTAGTGGCCGATTTTCTTTTTTTCTTTTTTCTTTTACTGAAATAAATACCAKTTAAGAAATGTCGAATTTACAATAAAGCGGTGTTGTTCTTTTTCCAGAAAATCCCCAATTGAAATCGATATTCCTTTGACTTTGAATAAATAGTAATATTTTTTCGGTAAGTTTAAAGAGTTCACACTTCGGTGACACGGCAACTTATAGTAATTCGACTTCCTTAATGTATGATTGTCCTTTGACTTCGACTTGTAACTAATAGTTCTGGCACAAAAGTGGGGGTATAGTCTCTCAAAATCAATTAAACTATCGAAGTTGACTCTTTTTAACAATAGAAAAAGTTTTTGCTTTTTTAATTCATATACCAAGCATTTATTTTTTACGTTCAATGTATGTTGTCAAAAAACGTTTTTTAAGCAGTCCAATATTCTGGTCGTGATAGTCTGGGAATAAACCTGAGACCTTTAATTACAATCGCTTTAATTTCGTTAAAAGCTTTCCGACACGACGACCAGGATTAATTTGAAATCTAAATTGCGACAAGTGAATGGTTTAAACTTTGAACGCAATAACCAAACAATTACCCAATAGATTCCTAGTCCTTGCTTTATGTAATAAAGCCAAATAGCTAAAGGAGTTTTGCGTTACTTCATAAGAGCGCATTTCAGCCTTACATTGTTTGCTCGTGTTAGGAAGTCAGTTCATGTCTAAATACGTTATATTCCGGACCCTCTGTACTATCTGCGCTCGATAATTACTTTTTGGCAAATACAACACCTTGGATTCAGTAATTGTCACTTGAAAATCCAGCTAGAGCCGCGGCAAGTCTAAATTCACTTCMACAGTCTGGCCAGGAAAAGGATTACCTGGACAAAGATCACGTTGAAAAGTTGAAATTCTGTTATACAAATGGAATCGAATGGTAAGTATTTATATTCCCAATTTACGATTCAAAGCTGTTTTGATATGCTTGCATGACGAGAAGAATTGTCATGATTTCAGTTACCCAAACTGATTTCGTTGATAGCAAATCCTCAATTTTCCATCATTTACAACAGTTAAAGATTTGTAAGTTGCGCGTGCAGTGCAGTAAAAAAAATCTCTAACATCTAAAACAAATATAAAAAAAGATATCGAATTTCTGAAGATGGTTCTTGAGGTTTTAACTATATTATTTATTCATYCTTTTCGTTACTGTGTCAAGCAAAAAGATTTTTTTTGAGATAAGGTCCTTTCATTATTGTAAAACGCAGGCCTAAAGGGTACACCGCAATACCAATATGACTCGGTTTTCTTTATTGGAGTTGTTTATTTAGCAAAGTACTTGTTCCATATTTCTAGCACGGCTGTCCGTATTCTCATTGAACGCTATTCACTTGKGTGACAATAGATTTTTCTCATAAATCSKGCAGTCAATTATTTTAAAATTTTAAATTCATAGACACTCCTTTAACGCCTTCGAATCCATGCAAAYATGTTTCGATAAAAGGATCGGTAAGGACTCACGTTTAACGATATAATTTGGATTATGCATTATTGAGGGAAATGGATTCCATGTTGAGTGGTAGGTACCAAAAGCTCACTTAGATGAATTTGAAGATTTCCATTGGACTGTGCGGTTTTCCGTTTAATTTTTATTTTAAAAACGTTAGCTTCTTTTACAAAGTATAGGTTCTTGCTTTCCTATAGTTTTTCGAAGCTCAACTTAAACATCACTTACATTATCCATTTTATAAAACTGGATACTTAGAAATAATATTTTTATTATATAAACAATATAGAAAAAGAAAGCTGGAATATGAAACAATGTATTGATTGATTGATTTCTTGAGTTCTCAGTGTCTATAACGATATTACATGTACGTAAACTTTAAGCTTTTCAATTGTTAAAAMTTTGATGAGTGTATTACTTTTTTATCACATACGACGGAAACTCTTGCGCAATTTCTTGCTAACAGCAACGTTTCTATAAACTGTATAGCTCCGTTGCAGTGTATATTTTGTGTATAATTTTAATTATGACTTTTCGTGATTGCGGTTTTCATTTCATACGTATTGTCGTTACTTGTGTTGCGTGTTGCTTACCACGTATGAATGTCAACGATTTCATTCACTTTCATTCGGTTTCGTAACGCAGATATATTTTGTTCTTTACACATGACTATTAAGGTTGTCGTTCAGTTTTGTTACGTGTGTATCTCTTGCGTATCGAATTTCCTTTGAATGCAGTTTTCACAACGCATATCGTGCTGGTTTACATGTGTCAGTATTACGCAATTATCAGTCGTTGCGCTTACGTGTATGTGTTGTACATCATACAGATACGTAATGATTAATTCCGTTTTCGTAACCTAAGTTACGTGTTCCAGTAGTATTTTTTGCATTATCAGTTGTTATTTACGACTATTAGGTTTTTATTAGGTTTCATGATCTTCTTGAGTACATATGTTGAATATTACTGATACGTATGGTTTTCATTCCTTTTATACGTAGAAGAACGTTACGCGTGCATATTGTGTACACCGGGACCATCTATTTACGTACAATGTTGCGGTTATAATTCCGTTTCATTACATGTTACGTACTAATTTTATGATAAATAGAATATTACATGTTCGCTTGGAGCACGAATTTTATCTTCGAGTGTTGAAAAGATCTCTCAACATCCATATCTCCGCGCGTCTATGTAATATCCTCTATCTATCCAATAGACAATGATAATTMTAATAATCTTATTCAAAAATGAATCTTTTTGACATCGCCATGATATCGTTTCAACAATTAAAGTTCATGATTATTTTAAAAACTTCATTCAAACTTCATTTCTCATCAGAAAACAATACCACCATCCAATGGAGTGGCTTTAACATCTCACGTGATCTCCAGATCTTTATGACAGCTCTCTACGTCATCACTTTYGTCATCGCRTTGCTTGGTAACAACTTAGTAATMCATGCAGTCGTTCARTATCAACATATGCACACGGCAACCAATGTTTTAATTGCAAATATGGCMGTAGCRGATTTGATTACKACWGTGTTTGCGATGCCGTACTCTGTYGTGTACTTRTTTGTCCAAGGTCGCTGGTTTGGCGGTGTCTTYGGTTCWCTTTCGTGCAARACRGTTCATTTTGTCATCGCAGTTACCATAGCAGCGTCTGTAATCGCTCTGTTCCTAGTCTCCTTGGAGCGATTCTGCGCGGTGGTGTACCCCCTGAAATTCTTCCCAGTCATTCACAACAAGAAATTATTGACCATCATTGTCTGGGGGGTGTCTGCTGTTATAATGCTGGTATATCTGATTGTCTATCGAGTAAACCTGTACAACGACAGGATGTATTTGTGTCAGTTGGTCTGGGAACCTGAATTCAATGAAAAAGGCTCACCCAAGACTTTTTATCTGCTTGTATTTTTATTGTTATATCTGATACCTTTGTCAACCATTGCAGTCATGCATACTATCATCATGCGTCGACTATGGCGTCGAGAAGTACCTGGTACCCAACTAGAATTAAACCGCAGGGCTGCGTTGCGCAGTAGAAAGAGTGTCATTAAAATGCTTTCTGTTGTTCTGGTTGTGTTTTCGGTGTGCTGGTTGCCACTTCACGTTATGCATATCTACATCAATTTTCACTATGACAAGTTCAAGCTGCTTTCACCGTGGGTTGTAATGTTGTTGTTCTGGGCTTCCCATGCTAACAGCGCGATCAATCCGTACGTTTTTATCACAATGAATCAGCGATTCAACAAAATCGTCCAGGGATTGTTTGCCAAGTGCGGGGCATGCGCTTTCCGCGCCAGTCTCTCGCGACGACTATCACCTGGTATGTTGAAAAGCAGATTTCTGTTTAGCGAATTTGAAGGGTATACATTGGCTGAAAGCTCGGCCAGGTCTGGTCCCGGATCACCGGTTATTCATCTTAAAAACTTTACAAATTTGACAAGCCTTGATGTGCCATCTTCTCCCACGCTTTGTCATCGCAACGCATCACGGGAATCGAGACTGTGACTACGTCAATGGAAATTGTGATCACGTGAACTAGTACAGTGGTCATGTGATTCAAGCATGTGATCGTGTAAATCACTGATTAATCAGTTTAAGAGAGATCATCAAAAGCATTTTTAATTGCAAAACAAAAATAATAATGATAATTTTAACTAAACTACTTTATAACTCGCGTAATATTTCTCGGGGATTTACATTATAAACGCTAATTGTTGGGCTTGCTATTTCTTTCCGTACAAAAAAACCCTAAAGCAATTTTCACTTAAACTAAATAAACATTAGGAATTGTAGCGTTATTAGTTAGGTTAGCTTTTAATAGGTTGTATAAAAACTCAACCAGTTTTTTAGAGCTTGAAAGGAAATAGATACCAAAGAACTCCTCTTCATGGTTATTTTTGTTTCTCTTGTTTTCGATTACCCTTCGTTTTGTGCATTTCTCTTCGTAATGTCTTCGTTACACATTCGTTTCGTACTCGGCCTCTCAATTGATAACGAAAGGCCAAAGATGTTGCGAAGAGAATCAATTTTTAACATGAGCACGGTATCTGATACCCAGGTTAAAATCAATTCTGCTTTCAACTCTTATTTTACGTTTTTTAAAATGCGTGAGTATTGGATATCATAATATTATATTGCTATAAAGATAAAGTTTTATCAACAGCAACAAAAACAAGAACAGAAGCAGCAGCAACAACAATGATAGCAACAACATTAACAGCATTAACACCAACATCAGCGCTAACGGTAATAACACCACCAGCAGCAACAACAACAACAACAACACCTGCAACAATACCAACAACAACAGCAACCAGCAACACTAACACCAACTGTAATAACAACAACAACAAAAACTTCAACAACCACAATGAAGGCAACTGCAATAATAACAACAACAACAACAGCTTCAATAATAATAGCAACAACAATAACAATAATCGCACTAATAAGATGTCCTTGATTTTCTGTATCATCTTTAAGGGCTTCTTTATTTTTGCACTCCAGTTCTTATTCAATTCTGAGGTAAGAGTACAGGTTTGATAAATAAAAGAGGGTCCAATAAAAAAATCAGTTTTGTTCCCATTCCCAGATTTTATTATTCTTGTAATTGGAAATCCGGATTCCCAGAGTACATCATATTTTAATACATGTTGGAATAGGCTGATTATTTTTGATTTTAGATTCAGAAGAACTTCAAATGCAAGAAAGAAGTATGGAAGTCATTGAGGATTTTTGAGGACTTTAGAAAACGAGTTACCTATCAGAGTGCCTGTAACAAAACAAAGTACATCAAGTAATGAGAGAGCAGAGACATTTGAGGTATGGTATGTCAAATACAGCCATAGATATAAACTCAGCATCAGTTAGGAAGTCTGTTAGTCAGTATGTTGCTCAGTGCTATAGTCAGCCATGCGCATGCAGTCAATCAGTAGTCAGTTGGTCAGTCAGTAAGTCATTATATTTTGCTAAAGTCAGTCAATCATTCCACCAGCCAGTCTGTCAAGACATTCCATCAGTCAGTCTGACATCACCCAGTCAGACAGTACACCCCCCTGTCATTTAGTTAAGATGTTAGTCAGTCCAGGGGTGGATCCAGCCTGTGGGTACAAGAAGTGCACACATACCTTAGACCTGCATCCTTGTGTCATCATCAGTTGTGTCCTTTATCATTTTTGTGGATTGCAACCCCTCTCATGGAGTCCTGCACCCCTCCCTGAAGAAAAGTCTGGATCGACTACATCTTCCTCATGAAGTGAATCTGAGTTCATCAGCCATCCTGTCAGGTATTAGCAGTCAGTCAGTTAAGCTGTCAGTCAGGCTATTCTTTCAGTCATTATTATTATTTCCCACTTTTCAGAAATATGCGTCTTGGAGGTTGCTGTAATCTGTCAATTTCAATCAGGCTACAGGTGGAGATAAAAATTGAAAATTAATATTTTTAGACAGTACTTCTCTTAGACCAACGAGCACTGTAGTATCAACCTTGATGCTTTTTATTACACACCTTTTAAAATTTCTTGTTCTGCAATATATTTTGACATCTCTATTGATGTTGAAATGGCTGACCATTTAGAAACACACACTTCATTTAAATAAAAAAATAATAATTATAACAAATGGTCCCAGAGCATCCAGGGTGAGCAGTGGGTTTTTAAATGCAAGCTCTATCACATTATAAATCTCCAAGACAATTAACCTCACAAATTGATATAGACATTATGACACTTCAGCATCCAAATTGATAAGAATATTTAGTAAAAATAAAAGATTTGATAGATTTAGTAATAAATTGCTGATAGATCAAAGATGTGTGTTTTCTCTTTGGGTGTATAAATGGGTATGGATGGGTTGCAATAGAGTTATTTGTGACACCTTTCTATGGGATACCTGTGTGTCTGGGCTTCCTTTGGCCACGCTGTAGGCCTGGTCGATGAGGAAGCGATATTGATACGATTGTTCTCTACAATGCAAGGAAGTTTTACAGCGCTGTAATCATTGTGATTTCATGCTGGACCATAAAAGCTGGACTAAGGTAAGATAAAAGTAAAAATTAGCAAATATGAAAGGCAAGCAATAATTGAAAAGTCAAGAAAACGAGTGAATGTTTACCAAACGGAATTCGTTTGAATACAGTGAAGCGAATGATGCATGAGATTATCATTTGAATATCATAATCAATATTAAAAGATGCTTGAATGATTCAACAGTGAACGAACGAATGATCGATAATCATTTGATCATTTAATCATTTAATTTCAATTAATTTAATCATTTAATCATTTGATTTGTTATTAGATTGAAAATATATTTGCTTTTGATAAATTATATTAGATGACAAAATATCTCAATGAGGCAAGTGTCATCTACGTACTGTACGTATACTCTTCACGACTACGTATACTCTGGGCACACTGTACCACTGTACGCATGATCTGTAGTACTGTACGTATACTCTTTACGACTGTACGTATTCTCTTTACGACTGTACGTATACTCTGTACGACTGTACGTATACTCTGTGCGACTGTACGTATACTCTGTACGACTGTACGTATACTCTGTGCGACTGTACGTATACTCTTTACGACTGTACGTATACTCTTTACGACTGTACGCAGTGTACGTATGCTCTGTACGACTGTACGTTTGCTCTTTACGACTTTACGTATTCTCTTTACGACTTTACGTATACTCTTTACGACTTTACGTATACTCTT